CCGCGCACGCATTGCCAGACGAGTCGAGAATGGCCCGGTACACCGCAGGAAGCCAGAGGTGGCCGGAGGAAGCCCGACGGTCTGACAGGACACCCCAAAGCATTTTTGTGAAAAAGCATTTGGGTTTTTGATGTTTTTATGTTGAAATGCTTGCAAACACACGGTGTTCGGTAGGATTCTGACATGAACGCGCGAGTGTGCTCTTTGTGGTATTTTTTGCACAGGATTCGCGGCCTGGGTGCATGACAGAGCATCGCGAGTGCACCGCGCGATGACGCGAAATCGCTGGATTTGACCGAATTCTTAAGATTCCTATGGTTTTCCTATGATTTCAGCAAGAGAGCCCGGGCGGGAAATTTGTACAATTTTTGTGAAAAAAAGCATTGGGTTTTTGATGTTTTTATGTTGAAATGCTTGCAAACACACGGTGTTCGGTAGGATTCTGACATGAACGCGCGCGTGTGCTCTTTGTGGTATTTTTTGCAATGGATTATCGCCGTGGACGACAAGACGTCCATGTCGAGAGGAAAAAATAAGAAACATGTTGATTTTGTATTGTTTTTTACAGGTTAGGATGGGACCCCCCGGATGCGGCCCCTAATGGCCGGCCTGAGGGGGGAGTAGGAGTATATTCTAATAAGGAATAAGGATAGGAGTAGGAGTAGGAGGAGGAGTAGAGAGGAGAAGGAAGAGGAGGATCAGTGTAAACCCAAGAGTCATCAACGATGTTGGAATTAACCATCCCTTCAAGCTCCCTCTTCACAGGCCCCTAGAACGGTTCATTTCCATTGAGGGAGCTGCCTCGTTGGACGACAACCGTTTGAAGATCTTGAAGCATGCCAAAACATGGTTCTCGGGATTTTCACGCCACGGATCAACCTGACTGCCGCGTCCTGACGATCGCGAATCGTGCCAGAACGCAGTTCTGGGGACTTCAACGTCGCGAGTCAGCGTAACTGTTGCACCCGCATAATCCTGAATCCTTCCAAACACAATCTCTGGAGGAGGAGGAGGAGGAGCGGGGAGAAGCGAGGAGGAGCGGAGGGAGGACAGAGGGGTGGGGTGGGGGGGGCGAGGGGGGCAGTCGCACACGGAGGAAGAGGGGGGAGAGCAGGGATGGGAGAGGAGGGGTAGAGGGGAAAGAGCGGCGGCGGGGGGGAAGCGGGGGCAGAGCGACACTCTCCTCCTCCAAACCCTCTTCCTCCTCCTCCTCCTCCTCCTCCTCCTCCTCCTCCTCCTCCTCCTCCTCCTCCTCCTCCTCCTCCCTCCTCGTCTTGCTTCTCTGTCTCCCTCCTCGAAAACCCCTCATTCTGCCCCTATGTCTCCTCACAGTCCCTCACAGTCCCTCACTGTCCCTCCCTCTTCCTCCTCCTCCTCCTCCTCCTCCTCCTGCTCCTCCGCCTCCGCTCTGTTGGTAATGCCAAGGTCATGCTGCTGCAGCGCGAACGCCAGGAACGCCGGGCGGGCGCCGGCCGGCTTCTCCTGAGAGACCACCGTTACGCGCACCGACCCCCTCCTTCGGTATCCTCCTCACCCGCCTCACCCTTACCCTCATCCTCCTTCCGCTCCGCTCCTGCTGCTGCTGCTCCTTCCCCCCCCCCGCTCCCCTCTGCCCCCCCCTCCCCACCCGCGATTCCATGCCTCCTCCGTCATGCATCCTCCCCCATCGGATCAGCCTCGAACTTATCCCTGTCCCTAAGATCGGCAAGCCCATGGCGATGACAAACTAAGAGATGTGCCCTCAGAAACTGAGGGTACATCCCTGCGATCGGCACCGAGGTAAGGTGATGCCAAACGTAGGGATCGGGAGATGCTTCTGGGGAAGCCAAGAAGTACCAATACCGCTACTCCCTGGACCTCTCCCAGGGGTGCGTTCTGACCAGGCGTTCGAGGCGAATCCAGCGGAGGCGACGAGGGCCTCCCAGGCGGCCCCCAAAAGGGAAACGAGGCGAGGGTAGCGGTATGGGCACATTTTCCTCCCCTGAGCTTCACGCTGGTAGCCATCGGGCTGGTGGCCGTGGCGACGAGCCCAGACGTCCGACGCCCCGATCCTTTTCCACGCGGGGCCCCCGAGGCGCCCCGGGCCCCCCCCCAAAGCCTCCCCCTCGCTCGGACGTCCACTCCCTGTGCTTTCTGCTCCGGCCTCGTGCCGTGCGAGGCTTCTTCGCAGGATGATCCGGGATGCTCCTGAAGAGCCCCCGCCGAGAAAGATTGTACACGTCCGAGCGTCGGCGGTGGACAAACCTCCCTTTAAGAGACCTCCCCTTAGTGAAAACGGCCTGGGACCGAAACCGACGGACCTGGACCCCCAAAAATGACGGCCGCGACGCCCTCTCGCGAACCGAAAACGGCCAATTCCTTAATCGACGCGTCAGGGTAGGAGGTCTGTCCACCCCCGAGAGCGATGCTCCAGATTTCGTCATAAAAGGGAGGGGGTCTGGACCCTCCAAGGCAAGCCATTTCAGACCTCCCCCGTGGGAGAACCCTCCAGAACATCGCCCCCAGACCCCCCAGGCCCTCCAAGATGGCTTGGAAGAGACCCCCCCCCGAAATGGGACCACTCTCCCTTTATTATGAAATCTGGAGCACCGAGATGAGCTGGCCTGCTGTCCCGAGCCGCTCCGCCGGCGGTCCCCCCCTCCCCCCGCGGGGGGCGGGGGGCGGGCTGCGAGGGTTGGCCCCGGCGGCCGAGCACCGGTCCCCCCATCGGCCTCCCCCCCCCCCGGGTGGCTTGTGCAGGGCGTCGGAGGTCCGTTTTGGGGGCGTCCGTGGGCGGCGGCGTCCAACGAGTGGGGTCGGGCCTGTCCTCCAACGAGCTGTGGAGGTCGTTCGATGGAGGGGAAGCGTGCTGCCAGATAATTCCCAGATGCCCAGAAGAGGTTTCAAATGTGTTTTCAACGATGTAAAACACATGCCTGGAACATCTTGGGAAAATGTGATACACATGTTGAACACGTCTTTAACTCAATGATTGGATTGTTGGAAAGTCCATTGTCATGGCATCCACAATCCTGCAAGCGGAGTTTTTGGGCGCCCGAAATGGGTGGGGAAAAATGGGTACAATGCCCAACAACAAAGGTTGTCCCAAACCAACAGCGGCCACTGTTGAGGAGGCGGCCTTCTGTCTCGAATGGACACAGGCCGCGGCGGCGTGGACAGCGAGTCCTGTTCAAAATGAACAGGAACTGCTGTTGGGCATTGTGCCCATTCTTTCCCTACCCATCTCGTTCGTGCCGAGTTTGGAAGAACAACAAAAAACAATGATAATCATACATACGAAAATAGCATCAAAGATCGTCACCATACTATTTCTGTATCTGTTCTGGAACATTCCTTCTGTAGAGGGACATGCCCAACTTAACCAAACAGGGGGGTTCGCAAATCTGCTCGAGGCACGTGCGCGGGGCGAGGGGGGACCCAGCATGTGTGTTGAAAGAGCCCGGCGCGACCCCAGCTTGGGAGGACGTTCGTTCCCCGAGCGGTACTGATTGGCATTCGCTGGCAGTGCATCGCTTTGATCGGCACTGCACGAATTTGCGCTGCTTGGCACTGCTCGGCGTGGCTTGCCCTTGTCCAGCATTGTCTGGCGTTGCCTGGCATTCCTTGGCGCTGCGCAGAGTTGCTCAGGGTTGCTTGGCGTTGCGTGGCGTTGCTTGGCACTGCGCGGCCTTGCTTGCCACTGCTACGCGCCTCGTCGGGGGAGCCCGGGAGAACCCCAGTGAGGCCGGCTGGCGCAGGCCTACATCTCACCGCCGGGTCATGCACAATATAAAAGCCCCCTGACTCCGGATGGCACCATAAACATGTTGATCGGGGGGGGAGGGGGGGGAGGGGGGCTACCCTTTCGACGGAGCGTCCCCATCCCCCCCCCCCTCGACGCGCGTCCAAAACTCTCCCACACTTCCCCAGGAACTTGAGCAAAACTGCTAGCACCCCCCGATCCCCCTCCGACAGAACGCGCCCATCCCCCCCCCGAACCCAAAGGGGGGGGGAATTATCATGCCACCCGGAGCAGGCAAGCCGCATTCGGGAAACCAGAAGAGGGGGCCACACCACCTGGGGAGATTGCATTTTGCCCCAGCAGTCGTGTCCACCCACCCCTGGCCACCACCCCTCTCTCGGACGCCCCCCTTGACTTGTTCAGGGCATTGGCTGGATGCCTGGGGACATTCTCTGCAGTGGCGCGCCCCAGGGGCGAAGGCAGAGGGGGCCGGCCCTCTCTGAAGACAGCTCTCCGCGGGCCTTCTCCGGAGCCCCGCCGCCGTCCGAGAAGGCATGCCACCTCTCATGCCCAGAGGGAGACAGAATAGCAGAAATATGTACTTTTGGCGGTCCGCGCGGACTTCCAGGATCTGCGCCGGACCCCCCCTCCCTTGCGCGCGCAGCGCGCCAGGGGCGGCGCCAGAGGCGACGCCAGGGGGGCCCAGTGCAGATCCAAGAAATCCGCGCGGAACTCCGAAAGTCTATGTTTATGCAATATGTTTCTTCCTCGAGCCCCCCCTCCTTTCTGCTAGGACAGCAGGCGACCAGAACCACATCGAGGACACACCATAGGGGATGTCTTGCGCATGCCAAAAACTGCCAGAACACCGAAACCAGCTTCGCACTGGTTGTGTTTGATGTGGCGTCCCAAGACGGCCAAATCGACCACAACCACAGCCAGAGTGCTCACGCCGAGGTCGGTGGGTTCTCCCCAGAGGGGCCCTCCTCCCCCGAGGGGCCCTCCAGAAAAAAATCACTGAATGGTGGTTGTGGTTCTATGTTGTTAGGAGAAGGCAAGACAGTATAAACAGAAACTTTTGGCGTTCCGCGTGGATTTTCTGGATCTGCGCTGGACCCCCCTCCCTGGCGCGCGGAGCACGCCACAGGCGGCGCCGGAGGCGCCGCAGGGGTGGGGCCACCGCGGATCCAAGAACTACTTGCGGATCCAAGAACTACTTGCGGAGCGCCATTGTGCAAGGACCCTGGGCGCGCCGCGGAAAGTTCTTGTAAGGGGGCCCTTAATCCGAGGTGAGGAGGGCGCCGCCGGGGAAGCAGAACTCGGGCAGCGCGGCCAGCTGCTGGCTCAGCGGCACGCCCCCGTGGTCCTGCGGCGGGTACCGCTCCTGGCGGGGGTGGGGAGGGGAGGCTCGCAAGTTGAAACAAATCAAGGGAATCTCGAGGGCAATCTCAGAGGATCGAGGGGGAGAGGGCAGAGAGGGGAGGAGAGAGAGAGGGGGAACAGATGGGGGCAGAAACAAGGGGAGGAGGAGCAGGAGCAGGAGGAGGAGGAGGAGAAGGAGGAGGAGGAGGAGAAGGAGGAGGAGGAGGAGGGGAGGAGGAGGAGAAGGAGGAAGAGAGAAGAAGAGGAGGACTACCCCCCCTCCCGCCCCAAGAGGCCCCCAGAAGCCCCCCAAGAGGCCCTGGGGGCCCCAAAGACGCCGCCCAGGAGCCCCGAAAGACTCCCAAGAGGTCCCCAAGAGGCCCCCAGGAGGCCCTAAAGAGGGCTCTAGGGCCGGCGGAATGAGCGAAGCGACTAAATAAGGAGCGCAGGGGCTTTTCTGGCCAAGGTCTGCCTACACCCCTGCTTAGAATTAGAAAAGTTCGAGGCTAAGGAAATCGCCCTCACTCTGAGCGCTGCCCAGGCCCAGGTCCTGAGACACGAACGTTTTACGACAAGTAAAGCTCAAAGAAAACGCCCAGGGCCCAGTCCAAATCCTTGATCTTCTTAAACGAACTCTGGAGTCCATGAAAGTTGGCGCGTTTCCTTCAGGTGTCTGGTGGGTGTGCGGAACTCAGAACGAGGAACGCAAGTGCTTTTCTGGCCACGGCGGGCCTGGGCCGCAGGCAGATTTCACGAACGAAATCAAGGGCCGAACAACCCGAACCCCTCCTGAGCCCAAAGCGGTGTGTGTGTGCGCGCGCGTGTGTGTGTGTGTGTGTGTGTGTGTGTGTGTGTGTGTGCGTGTGTGTGTGTGCGTGTGTGTGTGTGTGTGTGTTCGTGTGCGTGTGCGCGCGTGTGTGTGTGTGTGTGTGTGTGTGTGTGTGTGTGTGTGTGCGTGTGTGCGTGTGTGTGTGTGTGTTCGTGTGCGTGTGTGTGCGTGTGTGTGTGCGTGTGTGTGTGTGGTATGTGTGGTGCGTGTGCGTGTGCGTGCGTGTGCGTGCGCGTGTGCGTGTGCGTGTGTGTGTGTGTGTGCGTGTGTGCGTGTGTGCGTGTGCGTGTGTGTGTGTGTGTGTGTGTGTGTGTGTGTGTGTGTGCGTGTTTTTTTCCAGCCTTTTGACTGCGCGGCAGGTTCGCATCGCGACGACGTCGGTGCTGGCTTCAAACACCGCTCGGAGCGTTCCGCCCTGAGCGATCGCGGACCTCCCACAGCGCAGATCGCCGGGTGTCGGCCGAACCTGGGCCACCAACGGCGTCCAACCTGGAACGCCCGCGCGGGGGTCGCCGTCGCATCAACATGGCAAGGACATACCGTGCAGACGCGCGTCGACCGCACTGCTTGTCCCCCCAGAAGACCCCTAGAGTTAGGTCGGGTATGTCCTCCTACTAGCGGATTTTGAAAGAATTGAGAACATAGTCCTGAATATATGAATATATATATAGGTATGTATATGTACATGTATATGTATATGTATATGTATATGTGTATGTATATGCATCTGTATATGTATATGTATATGTATATGTATATGTATATGTAACTATGTATGTACGCACGTATGTATGTATGTATGTATGCAGATATCCACCAATAATCAGAAACAGTTGTTTGAATCGCCCCCAGATGATATTTCTGTGCCTGTTTTGAATACTCCTCCTGTAAAAGGAGCATGCCCAAATTGATACTGGTCCCCCAGGAGGACCCCAGGGGGCCTCCGCAGCCCCGAAAGGGGCCCAAAGCGTCCAACACACACGCCTCGGCCCTCGTGGAGTCCTCTGGAGGCCGTCGTCGTCGTCGCCGCCGCCGCCGCCGCCGCCGCCGCCGCCGTCGTCGTCGTCGTCGTCGTCGTCGTCGTCGTCGTCGTCGTCGTCGTCGTCGTCGTCGTCGTCGTTCTGGGCTCCAGCGCGGTCACCCGCAGCGCGGTGCGGACCGGGCCTGGCGCCTCCGCGGCGAGCTGCAGCGCGCGGCCGAGCTCGTCCTGACCCTCCCCCGCGGCACAGTCAAAGGCTTCACAGGGCGGAACCTGAGTTCGGTTGACCCACAAGGGGGTCCAGCGCAAGAAGAGTGGTGCAATACGCAGGTCTGGGGCAAGCGGATTGCAAATGTATTGCGCCGGAGACCTGTATTGCATTGCACTGCCAGCTAACGTATTGCACGCGAGGACCCAGCAATACACTTGCGCCCGGAATGTCTTGCACGCCCCAAATCTGATGCGACCCCACACGTATAGATCGCACCAAATCCATTGTGCCACCCCCTTGTCGCTGGACCCCCTTTGGGTCAACTGGACGACTTAGAGCCCTCGGTACTCGACGAACGCGTTCCACTACTCGCAACGTAACTACTCGCAAACGGCATGGACCCCCCGCGGGGGACATGTGCTTCTCGGACGTTGGCAAGGAGGTACTCTGCGAGCAGTGGAACGCGCTCGGCGAGGCACCGTCGGCCCGACAGCGGCGGTGGGCCCGAGCCCGCGGCGCGACGCGCGGAACCAGAGTTCCCGCTGGCAAAAGGTGCCCGCGCCGCGGCCCCCCGCCCGTGCCCCACGCCGCTCGGGGCCCCGCCCCGCCCCGCGCCTCCTCGCGGCTTGGGGGAGGGGCGCGGCGGGCGGAGCCGAGCACGAGCCGGGGGCGTGCGCGGCGGGAGCCCTGGGATCCAGATTCGGGTCGGGCGTGTCCTCCTACAGGCGGATGTTGGAGGCTGTTTTTTTTGTTAAGAGAGGGAAGCAGTGATCACGCATGGGCAAAAGACCACGCGAACTATGATGCAGCTTTTTCTACCTGCTGCTATTTGCTTACTCTTCGGGCTTCCGCTCGTTCCGAATCGAGCTCCCGCTGCAGCGCTGGCCTCATTTCCTCGCTTCCGCTCGTTCCGAATCGTGCTCCCGCTGCAGCGCTGGCCTTCCTTCCAAATAGGCACCAAAAATAAGAAATACCCCCCCGCTGGAACCATCGGAAGTGATTACACATTCGGTGTCGGTTCGTTGATGTTTTGGGCCGCAGGAGCCCCCCACCTCACTTTGGGGCGTCGTCGTTTTCAGGAAGTATAAAGCGGGAGCTCCGTTTCTCCTTGGAGAAGGCGATGTGGGAAGCAGAGCCAGCGGGTGCTCTCCATCAGTCCCGCCTTGTGTGGAGCTCTTTGGGGAGCCCAAGGGCCTAGACATGGAGCCACGACTCCAGACCGGCCCAGACCTCTCGAAGACGATCCATTTACCCTCCAAAGAACCTAGCGCCATGCCATGACATGCTGTGCGGTGTTGTGTTCTGCGCCGCTGTGCGATGCCATGCTTTGCGTTGCAATGCTTTGTGATGCAATGCTTCGCTGCGCAATGCCACGCCATGCTATGGCATGCTACGCTCTGCCGTGCTCTCCTCCGTCATGCAATGCCGTGCTCTACCAAGCATCGCGTACCCTCTCGCGATCATTGCCATGCTCGACATCCGACTGTGCGAACAGAGAGGATATCTACGCCATGGTAAGGGATGGGAGGAAGGTGTAAGACGTCAGATATGACGCGAGCGCACCTAGCTTGTCTTCCTCGTCCTCCATGTCCTCCTCCTCGTCCTTGTCCTCCTCGCCCTCCTCGTCCTCGTCCTCCTCCTCCTCCTCCTCCTCCTCCTCCTCCTCCTCCTCCTCCTCCTCCCCTCCCCCTGCGTCCTCGCTGGCGCCCAGCACCGCGAAGTAGTGCACCAGGCGCTGCATGTGGGCGCACCGCCGCCGCTCGCCGCGGGCCGCTCGCCCCCGTCGGGCCCCCGCCAGCCAGGCGTGGGGGCCCTGTTATTTCGAGCCGCCACGGCGGAGATCGCGCGACGGCTCCTGGAGGCCCCGCCTCTCCCGGGGGTCCTCGGAGGCCCTGAGATCCTGGCGCTGCAATTTATTCACGACGGGCGTTTTCGATCAATTTCGGGCCACGGGACCCTCACAGATCGATCCGGCTCGAGAAATGAGGCAAATGGGTCCGGGGCTCCGGTCGTGATTGGTTGCGATGTGGCGTTTTTTGGCAACGTCGGATCTCAGGGGACACACCAATAAATAGAAACAGAGCCCAGGATTCGCCATGTGTCCCCCATGCTCTGGAGGGTCGTCTTCCACCTCCACCTCCCATGCTTTTTTCCGCATTTTCCTTGGGAAGCGACGGTTCGTTGTGTCTGTGTGTTTTTCCCTCCTGAATCACCACCATGGCCACCTCGCATCATCTATATCACCACTAACCACCACCACCACCGCCGCCGCTACCACCACCACCACCACCAGCACCACCACCACAACACAACCACCACCACCACCACCACCACGACCACCACCACCACCACCACCACCACCACCACCACCACCACCACCACCCACCGCGATCACCATCATGATCATGATCATGATCAAGATCATGATCATGATCATGATCATCATCATCATCATCATCATCATCATCATCATCATCATCATCAGCATCATCATCATCATCATCATCATCATCATCATCATCATTATCATCATCATCATCATCATCATCAGCAGCAGCATCATCATCATCAGCGGCAGCAGCAGCAGCATTATCATCACCATCATCACCACCACAACCACCATCCATCCTCATCCTCACCCTCACCCTCATCCTCACTCTCATCCTTGTCCTCGTCCTCGTCCTCGCCCTTCTCCTAATCCTCCTCATCCTCCTGATCCTCATTTCCAGCCTCATCCTCATCCTCATCCACCTCAACGTCCTCCATCTCCTCGTCATCATCATCGTCGACGCCGTCGCCGTCGTCGTCTCCGTCGTCGGCGATATTGTCATTGTCATCGTCATCGACATCGTCGTCGTCATCGTCTTCGTCGTATTCGTCCTCGTCCTCGTCCTCATTCTCCTCCTTCGCCTCCTCGTCGTCCCCGTCTTCATCCTCCCTCTCCCTGTATTGTCCTCCTCGCCCTGCCGTGCCTTGCATCCCCCGCCTCCCCGCATCCTCCATCCCCCCCGCTGACCGACGCAAACGCCGCTGGGGGGCGCAGACCGACGCAGCCGCAGTAATTGAAAGATGCCGATGCCGCAACTCCCCGGACTTCTCCGTGGGTGCGCTCTGGTCAATATCCCGATGCAGATCTGGTACCAGGACACCCCGAGGAAGCCCAAAAAGGCGAAAACGACGGAAGCGTATCGATCGGAGTCACTTTCAGTGCGTCGTATCAAAGCCCGCTAGAAAATCAAGTCGTCCCAGGGTCCAACTAGGCCTGTTTCCCAACCAAGATCACAGTTTGACGGCCCCGTTGCCCGAAGCGGGCGCCCCCAGAAACTGAATTGTTTGAGAAAAAGCCTTGGGCGCGACTTTCCCTGTACGTCCGTCCAGCCCTCTGATCTGAGGGGCAACGATAAGTGGGGGACCAGCTCAGGGGGGTGGGTGGGGGGGTGGGGGGGGGGAAACGTCGAGCTGGAATCGGCGATACGTCGCCGATAGATCTAGAAGAAAGAGAAACACACCATAAACATAAACATAAACTTGTTTGCGCTCAGCGCGGATTTGTTTGATCTGCGCTGCACCCCCCTCCCTGGCGCGCGGAGCGCGCCAGCGGCGGCGCCAGAGGCGCCGTCGGGGGGGGCCCAGCGAGGTTCCCAAAAATCCGCGCGGAGCGCTGGAAGTTTATGTTTATGCCGTTTTGTCTTCTTCGAAATAAGGCCCTAGTAGCAGAACCCCACGCTCATGGGAGTGGTGGGCTACCGGGCCCCTATCTGCCACCAGTGGGCGATCGGGGGTCAATGCGTCGTCCCCTGAACCCATCGCCCCCTATCGCCGCCCTTTTTGAGCAGGGACCGACCGTACAGACCACAAAATGTTGTAAGACGGGACATCGACATGTTCTAAGAACATGCCCTACCGACCACAAACAGTTATTTTGTCGTGGGCCTTTAGGCGAGCCAGAACGCTTCGCCACTGCTTGACCCTTGGCGGTCGGGTCTGAACTCTGCTCTCCAGCGGCCGCTCGGGACGATTCGAGCACCTCTGGAACGCTCTTAGCGCGGCGCAGCCGCTGAAGGCAGCTCGAAGCTGGAAACCCAGACCCCCGATATCGCGACTTGTTCGCAAGACCACCAGAGGTCTGGACCCCTTCCCCGGACCAGCTTTTCATCCTGAGTCGTTTCTTGACGGTCCCGAGGCCCGGCAAAGGCCCCCGGAGGCTGAAAACAGAGAGAAACCGTCCGCCGTGATCTTCTCACGACCCGAGGGTGGCTGGGGAGACTGGCATACCGCCGACGAACCGACGACAACGGAACGCTCCCGGCTCGCCGCCCAACGTGCGCGTATGAGCAGCGCCTGCTGTGGCGGAGATAGACAAGCACTAGGTCGGGCATGTCCTCCTACAGGCGGATTCTGGAAGAACAGCTGAACATAGCCAGACACCATTCAAAGATAGTTGAAAATCATCCCAGACATCCGAAGTCTCGATTTGTGATTTGATCGAGACACGGGCCCCCGACCTCCCGACCACTTCCCTGGGATCGGTTTTTCTCCCGAGTTGTTTTTTGACGGTCCCGTGACCCAGCGAGGGCCCCGAGAGGCCGAAACAAACGAAAAACCTCCGTCTCGATTTTGTTCGAGATGCCCCATGTCTGGGATCGAAGATCGTCCCCCCGACCATTTTTGGGCTAACCGTTTTTGCACACTCCCCCATGCAGAGGCACATGCCCGACTGGAGGCAAGCGGCACGCACGGGCCCGCCGCACCCTGGCGGCGAGCGGCTCGGGGAGCCCCCGGCCCCCGCGGCGGCCTCGAGCGCCGCCTCCGCGCGGGCGCGCGCGCGGGGCGGACGCGCGCTCGGGGCGCGGCGCCGTCGACTCGCGCGGTCGACGGGGCGGTTTCGGCGGTGAGGGGCGGCGCCCTCGGCGGGCGGTTCTGCTGGCGGCTCGCTCCGGTCCCTCCCCACCCCGCCTCCTGCCCAGATCCCCCTTCGCGCTGCGGAAAAGTCACGACGGGAGGTTTGTCGCTATATGTTCGGCCCCCGGGGGCCCTTGTTCTGGCCTCGGGGCCGTCAAACAACGACTCGGGCTGAAGAGCCGGTCCCGGGGAATCGGTCGAGAGGTCGACGTCATGAAACAAATCATGACGTCGGGGGCCCTCTCTGCCCCGCCCCAGAAACCACCACATCGACGCCGCACCTCCGGATATCGCCTCTGTCGAGCTCGGGCAGCTCCCCTGAGATCCGACGCTGCAAAGAAAATACAACAGATGGCAAAAACAATGCGAACAAAACCCCGAACCCCACCTTTCTGCGTCATTTTTCGAGCCGGACCGATCTGTGAGGGTCGCGGGGCCCGAAATTGAGCGGAAACGCCCGTTGTGAAAAAAATGCAACGCCAGGATCTCAGGGTATACGGTGGAGGTTTTAGAGGAGGAGGAGGCCTTCGAGGAGGAACCCAGGGTCTCGCGACCGAGACGGGCGGCCAAACGTGGGCCGCCCATCTCGCCTCGAAGCAAGAAGGGATGCGCCAGGGCCTGGGCACCTCCGGAGATCGCCTCCGTCGAGCTCAGGCAACGCGCCGGAGGCGCATCATTACCTAACAGCGAAGACTGATAGGTGTCTAGTTGACTCAAAAGAGCTCACAGATCACTCCACAGGGGGGTCCGGGCAGGCGTTGGGAGTTGCCGGCCGGGCCTGTGCCGGGTTCGTTTTTCACCAACAGTCACACACTTCGTGCTCGTCGACCTCTCAGAACCCCATTCCCAGGCCACATTCTGAATAACCGGATGCAACAGTCACACACTTGGTGCTCCTTGACCTCCCAGAACGCCATTCCCGGGCCACATTCTGAATGCCCGGAGCCAACTGTAGGCCACTTCGTGCTCTTCGAGTTCCCAGAACTCCATTCCCGGGCCACATTTTGGATGCCCGGAGCCAACTGTAGGCCACTTCGTGGTCTTCGAGTTCCCAGAACTCCATTCCCGGGCCACATTTTGGATGCCCGGAGCCAACTGTAGGCCACTTCGTGGTCTTCGAGTTCCCAGAACTCCATTCCCGGGCCACATTTTGGATGCCCGGAGCCAACTGTAGGCCACTTCGTGCTCTTGGACTTCCCAGAACTCCATTCCTGGGTATGATTTTGAATGCCCGGAGCAAACTGTAGGCCACTTCGTGTTCTTCGAGTTCCCAGAATTCCATTCCCTGGCCACATTTTGAATGCTGAGGCAGGCTGATGCTGAGGCTGAGGCAGGCTGAGGCAGGCTGAGGCTGAGGCCGAAGCTGAAGGCAGACTCAGGCTGAGGCTGATGCAGGCTGAGGCTGAGGCTGAAGCAGGCTGAGGCTGATGCAGGCTGAGGCTGAGGCAGGCTGAGGCTGAGGCTGAGGCTGATGCAGGCTGAGGCTGAGGCAGGCTGAGACTGAAGCCGAGGCTGAAGGCAGATTGAGGCTGAGGCTGAAGCAGGCCGAGGCTGAGGCTGAGGCTGAGGCAGGCTGAGGCTGAGGCTGAGGCTGATGCTGAGGCAGGCTGAGGCTGAGGCTGATGCAGGCTGAGGCTGAGGCAGGCCGAGGCTGAGGCCGAGGCTGAAGGCAGACTGAGGCTGAGGCTGAAGCAGGCTGAGGCTGAGGCTGAGGCAGGCTGAGGCTGAGGCTGAGGCTGAGGCTGAGGCTGAGGCTGAGGCAGGCTGAGGCTGAGGCTGATGCAGGCTGAGGCAGAGGCAGGCTGAGACTGAAGCCGAGGCTGAAGGCAGATTGAGGCT